AGTAAGAATCTAAAATGAATTCCAAATGTTAGTCCAGAGGAGCCGAGCTGGAGGAGGTATAGTTGACATGGAGATGGATTTGATCTCAATCTAAAATTCACTTTAAATTCTCACTTAAGTATATAACCCTGTCTGATAAATCTCCACAGGATGTAATACACTCGGATTCCCACCTAAACTCAGGGGATCTGCAAGTAATGCACCCACTGAATTGAACCAAATTAAGAAGACTTAAGGGGACACTCTGAACAACAAACACAGTCTAGCTTTGCTGAAATGCTATATCTGTGAAGACCTTGTCCACTTTTTTCCATTTACAAAAAGTGCAGCTTTCAGTAGAAATTGTTACTTTTATAAATGAACCTGGATACACCCCCCATGGCCGTCAATCAGACAGGCAGTCACATTACTTCCTGGACAGCCCCTGGGGCAGAAGGAGAGGGTAGGATACTAGAACTGCCTCCATTTTATATACCCCCAAGGAAATTAAACTAATTACATGCAGATTTGCTTTGGGAATATATCTACTAAATAATCTTTTAATACTATGAGAATAAAATAGGTGATTGGTGATGGGGGGAAATTCAGCTATAGACACAGCTTAGCTATTTTATCCTAAATCTTGCCATTCTGATTGAAATCCAGATTTAATAGAGGTGGTTAGGGACAGGAACATTGACAATAGCTGAGGTAATGGGGCTCTGGCAGAAGTGGGGGTAAGGACATGTAATGGAGTTCTGGTAGGAGAGGCTAATGGAGCTCTGGTAGAAGAGAGGGCTAAGGACAGGTAATGGAGCTCTGGTAGAAGAGGGTAAGAACAGTTAAAGGAGGTCTGGTAGAAGAGAGGGCTAAGGACAGGTAATGGAGCTCTGGTAGGATAGGGTAAGCACAGTTAATGGAGCTCTGGTAGGAGGGAGGGCTAAGGACAGGTAACGGAACTCTGGTGGGAGAGGGTAAGAACAGTTAATGGAGCTCTGGTAGGGCTAAGGACAGGTAATGGAGCTCTGGTAGGAGGGGGGCTAAGGACATGTAATGGAGCTCTGGTAGGAGGGGGGCTAAGGACAGGTAATGGAGCTCTGGTAGGACGAGGGCTAAGGACAGGTAATTTGTGCTCTGGTAGGAGGGGGGCTAAGGATAGGTAATGGAGCTCTGGTAGGAGGGGGGCTAAGGACAGGTAATGGAGCAATGGTAAGATGGAGGGCTAAGGACACGTAATGGAGCTCTGGTAGGAGAGGGGCTAAGGACAGGTAATTTGTGCTCTGGTAGGACGGGGATAAGGACAGGTAATTTGTGCTCTGGTAGGAGGGGGCTAAGGACAGGTAATGGAGCTCCGGTAGGAGGGGGTAAGGACAGGTAATGGAGCTCTGGTAGGAGGGAGGACTAAGGACAGGTAATGGAGCTCTGGTAGGAGGGGGCTAAGGACAGGTAATGGAGCTCTGGTAGGAGGGGGCTAAGGACAGATAATGGAGCTCTGGTCGGAGGAAGCTAAGAAGAAATAATGGAGCTCTGGTAGGAGGGAGGGCTAAGGACAGGTAATGGAGCTCAGGTAGGAGGGGGGTTAAGGACAGGTAATAAAGCTCTGGTAGGAAGGGGGCTAAGTACAGGTAATGGAGCTCTGGTAGGAGGGAGGGCTAAGGACAGGTAATAAAGCTCTGGTAGGAGGGGGGCTAAGGATAGGTAATGGAGCTCTGGTAGAAGGGAGCTAAGGACAGGTAATGGAGCTCTGGTAGGAGGGAGGGCTAAGGACAGGTAATTTGTGCTCTGGTAGGAGGGGGGCTAAGGACAGGTAATGGATCTCTGGTAGGAGGGAGGGCTAAGGACAGATAATGGAGCTCTGGTAGGAGGAGGCTAAGGAGAAATAATGGAGCTCTGGTAGGAGGGAGGGCTAAGTACAGGTAATGGAGCTCTGGTAGGAGGGGGGCTAAGGACAGATAATTTGTGCTCTAGTAGGGAGGGCTAAGGACAGGTAATTTGTGCTCTGGTAGGAGGGAGCTAGGACAGTAATGGGCTCGGTAGGAGGGTAGAGACAGGTAATGGAGCTCTGGTAGGGAGGGGTAGGACAGGTAATAGACTCTGGTAGGAGAGGGAGGACTAAGGACAGGTAATGGAGCTCTGGTAGGAGGGAGGACTAAGGACAGGTAATGGAGCTCTGGTAGGAGGGGGCTAAGGACAGGTAATGGAGCTCTGGTAGGAGGGGGCTAAGGACAGATAATGGAGCTCTGGTCGGAGGAAGCTAAGAAGAAATAATGGAGCTCTGGTAGGAGGGAGGGCTAAGGACAGGTAATGGAGCTCAGGTAGGAGGGGGGTTAAGGACAGGTAATAAAGCTCTGGTAGGAAGGGGGCTAAGTACAGGTAATGGAGCTCTGGTAGGAGGGAGGGCTAAGGACAGGTAATAAAGCTCTGGTAGGAGGGGGGCTAAGGATAGGTAATGGAGCTCTGGTAGAAGGGAGCTAAGGACAGGTAATGGAGCTCTGGTAGGAGGGAGGGCTAAGGACAGGTAATTTGTGCTCTGGTAGGAGGGGGGCTAAGGACAGGTAATGGATCTCTGGTAGGAGGGAGGGCTAAGGACAGATAATGGAGCTCTGGTAGGAGGAGGCTAAGGAGAAATAATGGAGCTCTGGTAGGAGGGAGGGCTAAGTACAGGTAATGGAGCTCTGGTAGGAGGGGGGCTAAGGACAGATAATGGAGCTCTGGTAAGAGGGAGGGTTAAGGACACGTAATGGAGCTCTGGTAGGAGGGAGAGCTAAGGACAGGTAATGGAGCTTTGGTAGGAGGGAGGGCTAAGGACAGGTAATAAAGCTCTGGTAGGAGAGAGGGCTAAGGATAGGTAATGGAGCTCTGGTAGATGGGGGCTAAGGGCAGGTAATGGAGCTCTAGTAGGAGAGGGGCTAAGGACAGGTAATGGAGCTTTGGCAGAAGGGAGGGCTAAGGACAGGTAATAAAGCTCTGGTAGGAGAGAGGGCTAAGGATAGGTAATGGAGCTCTGGTAGGAGGGGGGGCTAAGGATAGGTAATGGAGCTCTGGTAGGAGGGAGGGCTAAGGACAGGTAATGGAGCTCTGATAGGAGGGGGCTTAGGACAGATAATGGAGCTCTGGTAGGAGGGGGCTAATGACAAGTAATTTGTGCTCTGGTAGGAGGGGGGCTAAGGACAGTTAATGGAGCTCTGGTAGGAGGGGGCTAAGGGCAATTAATTGAGCTCTGGTAGGAGGGGGCTAAGGACAGGTAATGGAGCTCTGGTAGGAGGGCTAAGGACAGGTAATGGAGCTCTGGTAGGAGGAGGCTAAGGAGAAATAATGAAGCTCTGGTAGGAGGGAGGGCTAAGGACAGGTAATGGAGCTCTGGTAGGAGGGGGGCTAAGGACAGATAATGGAGCTCTGGTAAGAGGGAGGGTTAAGGACACGTAATGGAGCTCTGGTAGGAGGGAGAGCTAAGGACAGGTAATAAAGCTCTGGTAGGAGAGAGGGCTAAGGACAGGTAATAAAGCTCTGGTAGGAGAGAGGGCTAAGGACAGGTAATGGAGCTCTGGTAGGAGGGGGGCTAAGGACAGATAATGGAGCTCTGGTAAGAGGGAGGGTTAAGGACACGTAATGGAGCTCTGGTAGGAGGGAGAGCTAAGGACAGGTAATGGAGCTTTGGTAGGAGGGAGGGCTAAGGACAGGTAATAAAGCTCTGGTAGGAGAGAGGGCTAAGGATAGGTAATGGAGCTCTGGTAGGAGGGGGCTAAGGACAGGTAATGGAGCTCTGGTAGATGGGGGGCTAAGGGCAGGTAATGGAGCTCTAGTAGGAGAGGGGCTAAGGACAGGTAATGGAGCTTTGGCAGAAGGGATGGCTAAGGACAGGTAATAAAGCTCTGGTAGGAGAGAGGGCCAAGGATAGGTAATGGAGCTCTGGTAGGAGGGGGGCTAAGGATAGGTAATGGAGCTCTGGTAGGAGGGAGGGCTAAGGACAGGTAATGGAGATCTGGTAGGAGGGGGCTAATGACAGGTAACAGAGCTCTGGTAGGATGGAGGGCTAGGGACAGGTAAATGTCCTCTGTTAGGAGGGGGGCTAAGGACAGCTAATGGAGCTCTGGTAGGAGGGGGCTAAGGGCAATTAATGGAGCTCTGGTAGGAGGGAGGGCTAAGGACAGGTACTGGAGCTCTGGTAGGAGGGGGGCTAAGGACAGGTAATGGAGCTCTGGTAGGAGGGGGGCTAAGGACAGATAATGGAGCTCTGGTAGGAGGAGGCTAAGGAGAAATTATGGAGCTCTGGTAGGAGGAGGCTAAGGAGAAATAATGGAGCTATGGTAGGAGGGGGGCTAAGGACAGATAATGGAGCTCTGGTAGTAGGAGGCTAAGGAGAAACAATGGAGCTCTGGTAGGAGGGGAGCTAAGGATAGGTAATGGAGCTCTGGTAGGAGGGGAGCTAAGGACAGGTAATGGAGCTCTGGTAGGAGGAGGCTAAGGGGAAATAATGGAGCTCTGGTAGGAGGGGGGCTAAGGGCAATTAATGGAGCTCTGGTAGGAGGAGGCTAAGGAGAAATAATGGAGCTCTAGTAGCAGGAGGCTAAGGAGAAATAATGGAGCTATGGTAGGAGGGGGGCTAAGGACAGATAATGGAGCTCTGGTAGTAGGAGGCTATGGAGCTCTGGTAGGAGTTCGGTTAAGGACAGGTAATGGAGCTCTGGTAGGAGGGAGGCTAAGGACAGGTAATGGAGCTCTGGTAGGAGGGGAGCTAAGGACAGGTAATGGAGCTCTGGTAGGAGGGGAGCTAAGGACAGGTAATGGAGCTCTGGTAGGAGGGGGGCTAAGGATAGGTAATGGAGCTCTGGTAGGAGGGGAGCTAAGGACAAGTAATGGAGCTCTGGTTGACATGGGATAAGAGAAGAGTAAGGCTGTGCTGTGGCAGGAGAGAGGTTAAGCAAGTTCCCTGCGGTGGGGGAGGTGAGGGATTTTAGGGAGGGGCAGGTAACCACAGGCCAGGTAACTAGACTGGTTATAGAGCCAGGAGCCATTGGTGGAAGCAGTGAGGGAGACATAGGAAGAGAGAGAGAGTCTGAGAAAGTGGGGGGAGGAGGGAGCGTTAGGACAGCCCCGTGGAAGGGAGGGAAAGATCGTGTTTATATTGAGCCAGTGTCATTAGACAGGTAAACTGCACTCTACACGGGGCGAGACACTCCGTCTATCCCGGGACAGAGAGAGACAATCTGTGTATCGCAGGAGAAGGACGAGACCGCCTGCTCTTGGAGATTTACGCGGTGTCACCCTGGTTCGTCTTAAGAGTCTCCCCGGTCTCCTCACTCTGATTTATAGCCGTCTCTCAGGTGAGTGTCGCTCGACTCACACTCACAATAATTGTGAGTTACTGCCAATAAATAAACCTGAATATTCTCTCAGGGAATTTAAAACCATTGTTTTGGGGGTTTTTTGGTCTAAAATATGTGAGCTGTCTTTTCCCACGGATCACCGCTTAGTGAATAAGCCCCGGTATTAATCGCACAGTGACTTCCGGGAGGCCAGGGGCCACAGTGCGTTCCGTCCTATGATTTCGCTGAATGCTCTACTCTCATTTTTGTTCTGCCTGACTCTGTTTATCATATTGTTTAATTGAATAATGGCTTTATTTAAACGCTGTATGGGAAATTGGTGATCCCACCCTCTGCGCAGGACGTGGGCGATGATATAGGGTTATTTACTAAACGGGGAACAGAGAGCAATTTAAAGCAAATTTCATAGTTTAAGCTAAAAAAACAGAATTGAGCCCAGAGCTGACTTGGAGAACTGTTCTGATTTTACTATTGGCCGAGAATGTAAAATTCTCTAATAATTCCCCATTGAATTCCTGAGATTTTACACAAAGTAACACTTTATGTGAGTGTGTGTGTGTGTGTGTGTGTGTGTGTGTGTGTGTGTGTGTGGTTTTTTTATTTTTTATTTTTTTATTTTTTTTTTTATTTTTATTTTTTTAATATACTGAGGAAGGCTGGTCCCACGTAATACCTGTTTTTCTGTTGCAAGTAGTAGTGGATACATGGCTTGACCTTAGGGCAGACTCTCTAAAGCAGGTTGTTAGGAGCTGACAGACTTGCATAGCATAGCTCTAACAGAGCTAGGGTGTAAAATGCCATGATTAATTTATTTTATTCCCTCCATCTCTTGCACTAACCTGCTTTGCAGTGTTAGAAAATAATTCCTCGTTGTAATGTAGAGGGTCACTGAGAACAACTAATATTGACCCATGCTGCCTCAGCCGGTACAAAGGGCAACTTTATAGTCTATGTCCGATACTTGGCGTTAGATACTGATAAGTGGAGTGACTGGAGGGGGGTCAAATTGTACTCTATAAGGCGATGTATGATTGGGGGAGGGGGGGGCCATCGCTCATTAGGTTTGGCTCTGTATGATTGGGGGATATCGCTCATTAGATTGGGCGCTGTATGATTGGGGGATATCGCTCATTAGATTGGGCGCTGTATGATTTGGTTGGGGGGAGCGTCGCTCATTAGATTGGGCGCTGTATGATTTGGTTGGGGGGGGATATCGCTCATTAGATTGGGCGCTGTATGATTCTGGGGAGGGGGTGAATTTGCTCATTTAATTGTGCGCTGTCTTTAAGGGGAGGGGTTGTGATTTTTTTTTTTTTTTGTTTTTTTTTTTTTTTTTTAAATCCGATGAGGGGATATTTTTTTGGGGTGAGGGATAGTGGGTTACCCAGTAATATGGCATTCATTGTATAGCCCCCTCCCAGTCGAGCCGCTGTTTTAGATGCGTAGCTCTGTAACGGTGCCAGTGGTTAGATGTGCGGATGTGGGTTTGAGAGTGAATATTGTGTAAATAAACCTACAAGCACGTGCAGACATGCAATCCGTACACTGACCACATTCACATGTTTTGATATCGTTCTCACCCCTTTAATCTGGGACCGGTTCTGCGCCAGCCACACCCTCCACACTACACGTGAGATCCTGCCATCCACTAGGCAGCATGAGACTTGGGTTCACAGAGCGATGAGATATCGGGTATACTTCATCCGGTTTCTATAATTATCCCACTCCCTGCGTACTGGGAGCTGGATTAAGCCATATTCCGGAACAATTACCCCCACCCATGGCAAGATACAAAACAAACTATGTTAAGCCCTGTACATTTAAATAACTGGAGTGATTTTTAATATAACTCCAATGGCCATTAGGTGTTGACTCACCTGCCACGTCAAGGCAAACCTCTAAGGTGGGTCCTACACTAACAATTCACCTTGCTTCCTTCAGCTTCAGCAACGACCATGGTACTCATCATTCCAATACATAGAATAAAAATAGTCTGTCCGCACCACAGCCATTAGTGCTGCTGTCATATAAATGTCAGGAATTTTTTTATTTTGTCAAGTTTCACTACAATCTAGTGTTTAGTGAATAACTTTTTCCAAATAAATAAGGAGTTACAGGTTACATTGTGAAGGGTCCTGATGGAGGATGTCAGAATGTCTGGGCTGTGGATGTGGTAGCTGATTCCTGGGTGACGATGTCTTCTTGTTGGAGAGAACTTTCTAATTGCCCCTAAGTTTCCTAGAGAGTATGCTTATTCTGGTTGTAATGGAACCTTCTGTTAATGGATGCTTCCTAGCTTGTGCCGAGGACCACAAGCACCGCACCGGACACCACAACCGCCGTAGCTTAACTGGAGCCTCGCCGTCATGTGTCCACCCTGGATCAGCTTCTGTCCTCCAGGACCGTGTGGGGAAGACCTCTCCTCCAGGAGAGCGTAACACGAACAGCTCTTAAAAGAGCGAAGTGATTACAAGCTCAAGAGAGTATGCAGAGCATAGCAATCCCCAGTGTGATATAGCAGTTCCCTCCAATAAGGAGACAAGACTACGTGTTGAGGGTCAAGAAGATCTGGTTTAACTGGTACTAAAGGGCCTTCTTTTATGTAGGTTTTCCCTACATAGGACCACCCACATGGTTTTACAGCACAACCAATAACACACATACATTACAGAAAACACTCCCAGCGATTACCCACAAAATCCTCCCCTCTGCCTGTGATCTAATTGGATCTAATTATGGTACACAATGGTTAACATAATTAACACAGGCAGGAAAAAAACAGTTTTCATACATGTACTATAACTTTGAAAATATACGTCCAATCTTCATCTTCAAAATTACATATTCAGAATCAGCATACTTTAAACATAAACACTCTCAAAAATCACACAAATCCATCCAGTGAATAAAAAGTTAGACGGAAGTCCTTTATGACCGACCGCAAGCACATTTTCCTGCCCAAAACCGTTCCATAGATTTGGGCTGTGCGGTCGGTCTATTTCAGCCCATCGCCAAATGGGACTTGGTCTCTGCGGCTGAAAGTTCAGTATGGGAGAAGGTCTTTAAGGGGAGGGGTTAAGGGGAGGGGTTGTCAGCGGTGTTCACGGAAACGTGTAGCCGATTTTTAGTTCTATGAATTTGGCTGCACACACCGCTGACCGTATTTGAATGAATAAAGATGGCGCCGCCACATGTTCGTTTGCGCAAACGGCGGCCCCCCAGCGTTTGGCAATTTACCTACAGCAGGCTCCCAGCATGGGAGGTAAATTGCCTGCACACTTCCACTTCTGGGTGGTCCGCCTGTGTGGTACTTGGTTCATAAAGCCCCATTTACTGAACCAAGTGGGAAATAGCCAGGAACAAAGGGTTTTAACCAAGTCTGGGGACACAGTCTTAAAGGAGCATTGTCCCAAAAATGTGCATAAAGGGCCAGCACCAGTCCCATAAAAAGTCCATAAGCCCCATTATGCTCACAGACTGTTCTTAAAGGGCCATACACAGTCCAATAAAAGTCTATACGCCCAAACGCTGGTTTAAGAGGGTACAATCTCCCAGGCAGGCAAGCAGGCCTCTCCAGGACAAAGTGGCGAAGGGCACTTCGTCACACTGGTCCCCAGGGGCTGGGTGACATGCTGGGTGGGCAACACTAGCAGTGAATTCCTCTACCAGTGTAACCGTAGGGCCAGCAAAGGAAATGTAGCCGGCCACACAGACCAGGATTCCACAGGAAGAACTTCCAGATTATATGGTAAAACAAGCACAGAATAAACTCTCAGTCCACCAAGGCCAAACACACTATCTCTTGATTAACTTAGGTTAACCCTTAATAGTATGTTCCTATAAGACTTAAAGGGACACTCCACAAATACAAATATATGTCACTGTTTAGTAGATTAACTTCTGATAGTGAGGATTTTTTTTCCATCCGGAATTTCCCCTTGCCATTGTCCTTTTTGTATTAATTTGCAACTCTCTGTATTTCTCCTTGCCCACCAAACCATATGGTGAAGAGTCCCCAATGAATGAGACAAGATAATATTCAAAGTGACTTCTAACATTTAACAGACTGTGTAACAGGTTATGTTCAAGAGGAAACAGGGGTGGTCGTTACAAGCATTATCCAATCTTAACATCTTAACCTATAGCAAGCTTGCAGGTGTATCTTCATGTTCGGGCCTTGCTCAAAGCTAAATTTCACTATAACCAGGCACTCCAAAGTAATATGCATGCGCACTACGAATTAAAGATATTTACTACGCAGTTTTGACACTGTTGCACATAGAAGGCTTATCAATAAACTGCAATCTTTAAGTTTGGATTCAAATATTGTTGAATGGGTAAGGCAGTGGCTGAGTGACAGGCAACAGAGGGTTGTAGTTAATGGAATATATTCGAAGCTTGGACTTGTCACCAGTGGGGTACCTCAGGGATCTGTACTTGGACCCATTCTCTTTAATATTTTTATTAGTGATATTGCAGAAGGTCTTGATGGTAAGGTATGTCTTTTTGCTGATGATACTAAGATATGTAACAGGGTTGATGTTCCAGGAGGGATAAGCCAAATGACAAATGATTTAGGTAAACTAGAAAAATGGTCAGAATTGTGGCAACTGACATTTAATGTGGATAAGTGCAAGATAATGCATCTTGGACGTAAAAACCCAAGGGCAGAGTACAGAATATTTGATAGAGTTCTAACCTCAACATATGAGGAAAGGGATTTAGGGGTGATTATTTCTGATGACTTAAAGGTAGGCAGACAATGTAATAGAGCAGCAGGAAATGCTAGCAGAATGCTTGGTTGTATAGGGAGAGGTATTAGCAGTAGAAAGAGGGAAGTGCTCATGCCATTGTACAGAACACTGGTGAGACCTCACTTGGAGTATTGTACACAGTACTGGAGACCGTATCTTCAGAAGGATATTGATACCTTAGAGAGGGTTCAGAGAAGGGCTACTAAACTGGTTCATGGATTGCGGGATAAAACTTACCAGGAAAGGTTAAAGGATCTTAACATGTATAGCTTGGAGGAAAGACGAGACAGGGGGGATATGATAGAAACATTTAAATATATAAAGGGAATCAACACAGTAAAGGAGGAGACTATATTTAAAAGAAGAAAAACTACCACAACAAGAGGACATAGTCTTAAATTAGAAGGACAAAGGTTTAAAAATAATATCAGGAAGTATTACTTTACTGAGAGGGTAGTGGATGCATGGAATAGCCTTCCAGCTGAAGTGGTAGAGGTTAACACAGTAAAGGAGTTTAGGCATAAGGCTATCCTAACTATAAGATAAGGCCAGGGACTAATGAAAGTTTTTAGAAAATTGGGCAGATAGATGGGCCGAATGGTTCTTATCTGCTGTCACATTCTATGTTTCTAGTTCTGAATTCCACATTACTATGCAGTTATGATCAAAGCGAGAAACACAGGAAATAAGGCCAACAGCAGAAACATACAGGATATAACACCTATTACTTGTTACATGATATTATACAGCTTTTTATTGTCATGGGGTATATTCACTAAGCATTGGATATAGATAAAGTATATTATTTCAAATAGCTGACATAGTAACCAATTTTAAACAGACTGGCCAGCCGGTCATTTGTATCTTAAGCCCTAGGTAAATATAGGCAAAGTGTATTATTCCCAACAGCTTCCAATGAAAACATGCATTTAATTATGCATTATCCCATTGGGGTATATCTAAAACCTGCTTGTTAAAGCTGCAGATCTCTTCTCTGCAGCCTTTGCAAACCCTCCCTTTCTAACCCTGCCCACACTTTCTGTGGCTGTCCAATCACAGACTTCCCAATGCAGCTCAATGAGAAGTCTTTGCAAGGCAGGTGCTCTGGGCAATTGCTGCCTCCTGAGTTTAGTTCCACTGAGCTAAACAAACCAGGAAGTAACCGGACCAGCTGTCTAACAGCCAGGGGAATGTAAGAAGCTTAATTTATAAAAGTGTTAGTTTCTATTTGTACTATTTTGAAAAAAATAAAAAAATAATTGTCATGGGGAACAGGCATTCCACACACACATAGCAAGCTAAAATACTTTTAGGGGTCTGATGTGTCCAAGTAATCCATAAAATGTCACTCACAGCCACTTTCTCTTACTGGAGTGATTATGGTGTACAGACGCTGTCCCTGAAGTCTTTCTTTTTAAAAATGTTCTGAAGAGATGGCTTTTGAATTGTGTGTTTTTTTTGTTTTGTTTTTTTTTTGTCTGGCAAGCGGCCCGGTGGAATGCTCTCTTCCAGGCTGGTAATGTTGTACAACCTGCCCGCTATCTCTGCCGCAATGTTGGCGTAACCTGCGGTGGAAGGGGCTTTAATATTGATCTAGAGAACTACATGTCTGTTCGTCCACCCATTGTAAAGCGCTGCGTAATTTGATGGCGCTATATAAATAACATAATAATAATAATACAGTCCTAGTTATTTAAACTGTCCTACAGTGATCACAATCACACTGTTCTATCTCATGTTTTTTTGTTTTTCTGTCTCTTCCTCATTCCTCTCGTGTTCAGACACGTTGCTCGTTTCCTGCACGTGAGTTTGTCACTGATTCAGGTGGGGTGTGGCTACGAGCCATGCAGGGTGTTCGATACAGTGTGTCTCATGAAGTGTTTGTGTAAATATTCAATTGTGGTTTTTTTTTTGTTTTTTGTTTTTAATTGCCCTCCCACATTTAATTAGCAAATATTGGGATATGTTTTTTATTTTATTTTTTTAAACGTGATGCGTTCAAATTATGCAAAATATGTGTAAAGGGCAATTAAAGTGTCACTATTACAGCGAGCTGTGCACACACACATATAAAGTGGCACTATTAGAGCGAGCTGTGCACACACACATATAAAGTGGCACTATTACAGCGAGCTGTGCACACACACATATAAAGTGGCACTATTACAGCGAGCTGTGCACACACACATATAAAGTGGCACTATTAGAGCGAGCTGTGCACACACACATATAAAGTGGCACTATTAGAGCGAGCTGTGCACACGCACATGTAAAGTGGCACTATTAGAGCGAGCTGTGCACACACACATATAAAGTGGCACTATTACAGCGAGCTGTGCACACACACATATAAAGTGGCACTATTAGAGCGAGCTGTGCACACACACATATAAAGTGGTACTATCAGTGCATAATGTGAATACATATATATAAAGTGGCACTATTATTGTCTTGTCACTAGGAGACCCTAATGTAAGTTGTCCATTTGTGCAATGTCACTGATGGCTACCCGTGGCTCTAGGAAGGTATCCACAAATGACCCAGCTTGGGTATGTAGTGCAGTCTACAGATTACCAGTTTGTTACACGGCAATTGGTATTTGATTTATTCATTTTAAACAGAAACACTTTGACTCTTTGCCAAATGTCATTCCTCACTGTGATCTCCTGACTCTGAGCCAGGTATTTTAATTAGTATTGACTCTCGTCGGTTTCGCTCCGGGCTTTCTCACTGTTTTTTCTACTGCTGTTGTTCCAGGTTGTGAGATGGTGACAGAGGAGGGGACCGACTGGCTCCTGGCCCTCCTGAGAGAGGTGCAGCTTGAGCAGTTTTACCCAAAGATTCGAGATGAGTTGAATGTTACGCGGCCGGGGCACTTCGATTTTGTGAAACCCTTTGATCTGGATCAGATTGGAATGGGACGGCCAGGTAAGAGAGGAAAGGAGCTATCCCAGGATTAAATGCCTTTTTATCACACCACCTGTTGTCCTATGTTTCCTTCCTATACACCCTGGTGTTACTCCTGGTGTTGGTGATGGGGTAGTTGTAGCTGTGTATGTACTCGGTGGTGGGGTAGCTGTGTATGTACTCGGTGGTGGGGTAGCTGTGTATGTGCCCTGGGGTGGGGTAGTTGTAGCTGTGTATGCGCCATGGGGTGTTGTAGCTGTGTATGCGCCATGGGGTGGGGTAGTTGTAGCTGTGTATGTGTCCTCTGGTGGGGTAATATGATCTCCTGCGTTCATAGGATAACATGATCGGTTTCCATAACCTGTTCTGTGTTTGAGTCACCCTGTGTCACCCGATGTGACCTGGTACTGGGTGGAATGGGGTCATGTGATGGGTGACACATGGTGTGTAAGAAGGAGTGAGTTGAAATGAAGCTGAGTGTAATCTGCTGGGTTCAGAATGCTGTGTGTCTATATACATATAGAGAGAGGTATATAGATATTATCTATGTGTATACGTGGGCGGCCAGTCTTAATGTACAGTTTGTGGTTTTCAGGGCAGAGAAGACTTTTTGAAGCGTTAAAAAAGAGGAAGCCCCCTGTCCGCCCGAAATCCTGGATGTACAAGGTTGGTCTGAATAAACTACCTTTCCTCCCTGTGTACTATTACCTGTCCTGTTATCACTGATATATAATGCATGGAGTGCAAGACTTGGACCATGTTACTAGCAGCAGAAATAACTCGTCCTCAATGAGTAAACACCAGCTAGAACCTGGCAAACTCTAAATTAAAGCCCTGTTTTAAAAAACTAAAAATAAATTTGGTGTATTTCCTGCTCCACCACCTCCATCACTAGCCCCCAATGCCGGGGGTCTGCCCGCTGTAGCCCCCAATGCCGGGGGTCTGCCCGCTGTAGCCCCAATGCCCGCATAAGTCCTGTCTCCAATCAAACAGTCTGCAAATTCATGAAGATTAATTTAAAATTCTCACTATCAAACACCAAAAATAAAAGCTATCTTTTGTGAAAATCTCTATTTAATTTCTAACGTTGTAAGATGACCTTGTTGTCTGCGTGTTGGATGATGAAATACATTTTACTTATAACGGTCTATTTGTTCTACTAGGTTTTCTCTGCAAAAGCAGCTGATCAGGTGGACTCTCCCCCGTATCCAGACTCCCCCCAGTCTCTGTCCTCTCACCCTCGAAGTGACTCTGACTGTTCCCTTAAATGTCTGATCAATGAGCGGGACCTGAGCCTGTTTGAGCGGCTTGGGGATGGCTGTTTTGGGGTAGTGAGGAGAGGCGAGTGGCGGGTGCCCAGTGGGCGGACGGTGAGTATATAAACCTACAAAACTGTGTAACCAGTGAGCCAAGCTTATTTTGTTAGATTAATTATGAAGAGATTATTCTACTGTATAACAATTCTCAGAAAAGATTGTTAAAGGAACACTATAGACACACAAACCACTTCAGCTCACAATGTGTCTGGAGTCTGTCATATAAAATCAATAAACATCCCTTCCCTGGCGGTTACCCAGATGCAGAGGTTTTCTTCCCTTGGTCTATAAACTGTACCATAGGTCACTATGAAGCATTGAAAAGCCACATTTTGTTTTGCTTACTTGTGACTCCAGTACCGAGCGTTCTCAATGAGAAGTCTGCGATCATTGGATTCCTGACACAATCTGTTAGTCCGGGCTAGAATGGGGGGCTGGCCAGGGCTGCATCTTTTACCGTTTTGATATATGCACCCAAAACAAAAAAATTACATGTTTTCATTGATGGAATTTATCTACTAAACTGAAAATTTTATATATTTTTCCCTAATGGATTGTCCCTTTAAATACATTGTTCCCCAACAGGTAAGCATTGCAGTAAAATCTTTGCGCACAGACGCCTGCTCTGACCCACAAGCACTTCTCGATTTTCTCCAAGAGGTGAATTCGATGTACGCACTGGACCACCCCCACCTTATTCGCCTGTACGGAGTGGTGCTGACACAGCCACTAAAAATGGTGAGTTTGAGAAAAGTGTTTTCTGCAATGTAAGCCCCTTTTATTACCTTCCTTCTACTAGAGGGAGACTGGCTACTTGTGAGGCTTCCCCATAATAGGACCTGTATGTTTCTCCACTAGGTGACGGAGTTGGCTCCATTGGGTTCTCTGCAGGACGCTCTTCACTCTCGATATGGTGCCTTCTCTCTCCAGCTCCTCTGGAGCTATTCCCTGCAAATTGCCTCTGGGATGAGCTACTTGGAGTCTCGGAAATTCATCCACCGGGATCTTGCTGCTAGGAATATTCTAGTGACAAGTGAGGACGTGGTAAAGATTGGGGACTTCGGACTCATGAGAGCACTTGCTGGTCACAATGACCATTACATCATGTCCGCTAACCGCAAGATACCTTTTGCTTGGTAAGCGGTAAATGAAAGCATTAGAGGGGGTGGGGGTAAGGAGTCTGTGGTGGAAATGGCAGATAGGGAGAGTATGAACATTGAACTTGGTGGTAGTAGGTGGATAACGTTAAGCTTAACATGAACACGGTCGATGACAAAGGACGATGGGCAGCATGACACCCTCCAGGGTGTTCGTGTAGCTTAGCCCCAATCACACACCCTCCCTTCCTGTAGGGAGTTGTTAGATTTTTAGAAAAGAGACTCTCTAATACCTTCTCTGCTGTGCAGGTGCTCCCCTGAAAGTCTGAAGATTGGAACTTTTTCTCACCCGTCGGATGTCTGGATGTTTGGAGTCACCTTGTGGGAGATGTTCACATATGGGCAGGAGCCCTGGCTGGGCTTGAGTGGGAGACAGGTAATGCATTACTCACCTCATACTTTAATATGATCCCACCTTGGAAGGAAAGCTATATTGCTGGTGTGATATCTGTGCTGGTGTGATATCTGACTTGTTACTTCTGTTACTGTAGATATTGATGAAAATTGACCGTGAGGGGGAACGTTTGGAGCGGCCCGATGATTGTCCACATGCTTTGTATTCAGTCATGACAAAATGCTGGGCACACAGACCAGACCACAGGCCTAACTTCAACAGCCTGATTGGATTGCTGCAGGAGGTGAGTTGAGCTCTGCTATCAGGCGACTAGGAAGTGATGAACAGTGGGAGATATATTAAGTTCTTTCTTCTTTCTCCAGGCACGGCCACTGGATGTCAGAGTATCTCACGATGTGAATGACCCAGCCTGGCTGCGTCTGGAAGCTGGTGATATTGTGACCATTGTCAACACAGGGTAAGTCTATATATAGTCATGCTTAGCTTCAGCAATTTTTAGGACAGTCCCCAAAGCTCCTACCTGTTGCTGAGGGCATATCTTCCAGTAAGTGGCTGCCATTCCTTCAGGGCTAAGCACTAGTTGGTTTAGGGGATACAATATGAAATAACAAAAGTAATGAAATCTAATATAAGATGTCTGAGATTCAGGCACACGGAGATGGCTTGAATCCATGTTACTGTTGAATGCGGTATTGGCTAATCTTGGTAAAATTGGTATCACAAATACATTGGATTATCTTAATGAGACTAAATATAGCATCTTAATGGCCACCACTTCCGAGTCTGGCTGCTTCATGATCCCACCATATAGATTTGTTTCCTTGTGGCTTGCTGGAAGTAATACCAGATAATGCCTCCAGGAGATATGTAACAAACTGATCTGTGAGTTGGATCAGCGGCAGATCCTGACTCTTTAAACTCTAGGTATAGGTAATTTAGCAAATTATTTAATGGGCCATTGGTTGTTGCGGATCTTTATCACCCTGTCTTTAGAATAAATGCTATTGCCCTTTACGATCTGGTTTTCACCCTTGGTTTGCTCCTCTGTTCAGGTTGGATCCTCATTCCTGGAGGGGACAGAACAGACGGACTCTGAAGGTGGGCTCCTTTCCTGTGTCTGTTATTGCCCCAGAGGACCTTGCTCAAGCTCGGAGCTCTGTACTGCTATCCAGCAGTCTGGGACATTTGTCGCTTGGCGAGGGGGACGCAGATAATGAGTAAGTTTCTTGTTACTCCTCTTGTCTTATCTCCCACGCCTGAGAAGCTTCTCACTTCATTATGGATCTCTCTTAGCAGGAGGAATAGAGGAAAAGATGTTGGGCGTAGAGGAGGAGCAGGAGCTTCAGGAGTCAAACTGCTTAGGATGCAACGTAAGTAGCAACTCTGGAGGAAAGGGGATGTTATTGTTTCTATCATTTAAGTGCTATCTGTTGCTTCTCCACCTTAACTATCCACAGCAAATGCTCATTTTTTACTCTTAAATAACTTCTTTCTCCAGCTTTCCTACCCCCATCTCTTCTTTTCTCAAATTCTTTGTTCTGCTTCCAGGACTTACGAAAAGCCTTGAGTCCATCTCTGAACTCTGTCCCCCAAGTGACCAGCACCATGTGCCATCACCCAAAAGCCGCGTCCGAGACCTTGAGAGTTCTTCTACCACTGAGGCATCACCGCGAAGAATGAGTGACTTACCCCCACGCCGAATCCTTCAAAACCTTCGCCCACCAGTACTGCCTAAACCTAAGCCCCCCATTGCTAAAGACAGATTTATTCCTCTTCCCAATGCTGATTATCCATCACAGCCAATGTCCAGGGTGCACAAGGACAAAATGTCCGCCTCTACTCCTCTTCTGAATGTGGGAGATGTCGGGGCTACTAATAGACCCCCTCTAGGGGTTTCTTTGTCTGATGGGGGAGGAAAAGGTTCAGGACAGCGAGGATCAGGGGAAAATGAATTTCAGAAGAAAATAAAAGATGTGAGTGAGCTTTCTGTGCTATTATGTACAAAGTAAAATGTTTTTACCCTTGTCTGTATTCTATATTTTGACTGCATTAACAGTACCCATCCTTTCCCTTCTCTGTTTCCTTAGGTTGAAGATAGAGTCCATGGAGTGACCACAGAGGAATGTCGAGATGCTCTTCGCTCCCATTCTGGGGATGTCACACGAGCGGTTCAGACTCTCAAGGTTAGGAACGGAAATATTGACTATCTAAGCAGATCTGTACCAGTTGGTGTCAATTCCACCCATCCACTATGCTTTCTGAAACGTAACATTTCCTTCAATGTACTACTTGGGATATATCATAACCTGTCCCATAGACCATGCTCACCTTTTGTATGTCAACAGCCCATCCCACTCAGATTATGCCCACCTTGACTGGCCCTTAAAGTGCAATCACGTCCTGCATTAGTGATTACTACTTTCTTACACGGTTTACTCTGGTGAGGTTTTCAGGCTAAATCTATGATTTAATCACTTGGGAAATTGTCCTCTATGCAGGTGATAATTCGAAAAAATTAGAATATCATGCAAAAGTTAATTTATTTCAGTAATGCAATGTAAAAGGGGAAACTAATATATGAGAGACACATTACAGGCAAAGGAAGATGGGTCAAACCGTGATTTGTCATAAGTGCGATAATTATGGCTTACAGCTCATGAAAACCCCAAATTTATCGAGTATCACCAGTATGTTCTATGTAAAGTCTTCCACGGCAGTCAAGGCAAGCCCAGCTATTGGGAGTGGCTCCTTAGCTTCCTGGAAGCTGCCTCATACATTGGATCGCTGTGGCACCATTTCCCTGTTGTTGGATACCTATGAGTTAGTCAATGAGGCAACATCCAGGTCCTTTGGGTGTCCCTACAGAGTACCTTGCAATGGCTGGTTGTCCTGCAATGCCCCATCAGAGGCATCAGATCACTGGGACCGGCTGCACAGTGATTGGGCACTTTGGCCATCGTGTCGGATGCTGGCACATGTAGTGGCTGGCACGCGTGCAGATGATGCTGTTGATACAGTACCAGTTATTCTGGGTTATGCCTGCCGATAAGATATGTCTTTAATATTACCCATTAACTTCCCACAAACCTGGCTCAGGTGTGAGGTGTCTGAATAAGTCAAACCTCAGGGGATGTGGCTGAAGTAAAGTTAAATGAGATTTTGTTTGTTTGTTGTTTTTTTTTTGTTTTTTTTCTTCCCTGTATCTGCCTACATGGGGCTTAAAATAGTCCTGGAACATTGAAAAGTTGTGTGTTTTGCAAACCCCAAAAGTCACGTCTCTATGAGCAGAACTTTTGGTGATGAGCTGTTAAATCTGTAAATATATATACATTGCTGGTTTTAGATTTGCTGACCGATATTACCCAATGTTACATATTTTTCAAATGTTAACCTTTCGAACTGTATCTCCTTGTACTATTTGCACTTGTTAATTGTAACACATGATGGCTATATGAGGTATTTACAAATTACTCTAATTTCAGGATATATATATATACGATGTTATTGCTCTGATACATGCGGTTTTCTACGTACCACTGAGAATCTGTGGGGGTAAATGAGCCATGGAGCTGTAAATGTCACATTGTAACTTGGTGACATTCCATGGCCGCTAACCAAACTTGTCCTTTAAAGGGACAATCGCAGTGTTTGTAGAAAGCTCTCTGTTGTGGTGTTTGACAAGTGTCACCATTCAGCCTACAAAGTAAATACCGTGATGGAAAGGGTAACCGTGACAAGGCATGTTTTGTCAGCAGTTGAATTCTGATTCTGTTACAGAGGTCACAGAGTGGCTGGTAGGCAGTGCACTGCGCCCCCTTCTGGTGATCTAGCAATGGTGCACATCTTGCTCTGTACAGGTATCTGTTGGATCTTTTCTTGACGGTTTAATATAAAAACTGCTGCTTCGTTCTCTAAAAAAAAAAAAAAAAAAAAAGGAACGACCCATATTTTAGAAGTTGCTGTACTGGCCTGGAAACCCCAAATGCTGTTGATTTATTAAAAAGTGCTGTAACTTTACATGTTTCTGCCCACACGTCATCACTAAGGAAGTGTCACTAATGGCTTAATCGCTGACTTCTCTGGTGTTCTAAACCCCCAAAATATAATCTTCAAATCCAGTTGTCCTTGTGAACCAAAGCACATTTTAGTCTTCCATTGTGTAGAATAAAATCCATTAATACATTGGTTTGTGATGGATCAATGATATAGATTGCTGTTACGTTGTTATAACTGACACGCCAACGCCATGCTGATCAACACTGATTTTATTTATTTTAACTCTGGCTTTGGAGACATTGACGGAGATATTAGCAGGGTTATTCTCTACAGTGAGACTTACAGTAAATTCCTTGCCAAATTAGCCAGACTGGAAACCATTGACTTGGATAATTTTTCTGTTTTTGGTGTAACTTTTGAAATTCACGTTACGTTCTTGTCAGTTCTCACTTTAGTTTATACCTTGACCCAGTATGCGAGGTCTCCCTGTGCTACTGCATCTATTAAGGTTTTTGATCCTCATGCTCCCAGAATATGAATTGAGAAATTATTACAAATTGCTTTGGCAGACTAAACAAGTGACCAGAATCTGAGCAAATGGTTTGCTCTGGCTAATGTGAGTTTATATATTACTTGATGAACACTGTTCTATGGAATGTTTTAACTAATCACCTTATTCTAGTTAAACAAAATTAACCCTTTCCTCCCTTTCTCTCCAGGTGGAACAGCTTTATAACCTGTCCCGTTACACCAAGGACGAATGCCGACGCATTTTGGACAAATGTCAGTGGAGTCTGGAGTCTGCGTCCCGCTACGTGCTGCGACGAGCTAATTTTCAATGAACAAATCTGTGGGGTTTTTTGGGCCAGGAAACAAGAGGAGGGGTGCTGGTCACCTTCACAATGACCATTTTAAAGCTCCATTAAGATGGCCACAGTCATCATATGTTAGATGGTTAGAGCCATTTGTAGAATGGCTGAAGGAAGAGGGGAACTGTAAGAGCCTCACCAAATAGTCTGTATGGATTTAACTGACTTTCTGGGATGATTTTGGCTCTATTTTGCACATTCCATGCAGAAGTGCCAAGGAAACGATGGCCACAATAGTTACCTGGAATTGGATGCCGCATAAGCCAAATGCTCATTTTACACAGATTACTAGGTCACCAATAAATGCTATGACGGAAGGGACAGCCCAGTAACCTATAAGGAATCAACAAGATGGTGTGTTGTATAACTGGAACCAAGGGGTCGTGGCAGGGTTCTTCCGAGGTGGACATATGGCTAATGAAGAACGTATCATACATGCGATTATAACCTACAGAGAGAAGCCATCTTGTGGCTGGCTTACAATAAGTTATGGTTCTGATATATTACTGCTACAATTCTGGATGTCATCTTAGCCAGCTGTTTAACTGTGGAGCTTGCCATACTGTGTCTGCTGGCTCTGGTGTATGATCTGAGCTCAGATCTTTTCTTGACGGTTTAATATAAAAACCAGGAACGACCCATATTTTAGAAGAGTGCTGTACTGGCCTGGAAACTCCAAATGCTGTTGATTTATTTAAAAGTGCTGTAACTTGACATGTTTCTGCCCACACGTCATCACTAGGGAAGTGTCCATTCGGAATGTTACATTTGGCCACATACTTTGCAAAGTACAGCGACATCTGTTACAGTAACGAGGATATGGAAGTGTGTAGATTCTAGAGGAATGTATAGAGTATGTGAGGGATTCTATGTAAATGTATTCTGTATAATATACACTTTTCTATCTGGATTATATCATGGAAATTAATATATTTTCTGTAATATAAATGGTTTCATCTTGGATCATGGTTTATTTTGTTTATATTCGTTGTGTGTTGAGTTTACCATAAAGCGATTGGATTTTATTTATAGAATTTCACTGATCATACAGACTTATTTACTAAAGTAAGAATTGCTGGAGATTCCAAGTGGAAGAATCCTCCCAGTCTGCGGTTTTCAGTTCACTTAAGCTACTTTTTGTCTTAAAATTGTTAATTATTTTTAAATCTCAAAAATCTCACTTTAGTAACCGCAAGTCCGTTAATAGGAACCCATGGTCACACAGAATAAACGTTTTTGAGACTGTAATCTCCCTTTAAGCAATGTGATCACGGTCCATCGTTCCAGCAGTAAGTAGGGTGAAGGAGGTGGATTGGTGCAGGATATCTGGCAAACAAGCAACGTTATTGGGCATTTTCCCACGCTAGACCTCATTACGTCCTATTCCTCTCCCAATCCCCTGCCTATCACTCCGACGGCTATATACTGGACTGCTATTAAGGGGACTGCCAAGGCAGTAAGTAGGGTGAAGGAGGTGGATTGGTGCAGGATATCTGGCAAACAAGCAACGTTATTGGGCATTTTCCCACGCTAGACCTCATTACGTCCTATTCCTCTCCCAATCCCCTGCCTATCACTCCGACGGCTATATACTGGACTGCTATTAAGGGGACTGCCAAGGCAGTAAGTAGGGTGAAGGAGGTGGATTGGTGCAGGATATCTGGCAAACAAGCAACGTTATTGGGCATTTTCCCACGCTAGACCTCATTACGTCCTATTCCTCTCCCAATCCCCTGCCTATCACTCCGACGGCTATATACTGGACTGCTATTAAGGGGACTGCCAAGGCAGTAAGTAGGGTGAAGGAGGTGGATTGGTGCAGCATATCTAACAAACAAGCAATGTTATTGGGCATTTTCCCACGCTAGACCTCATTACGCCCTATTCCCCTTCACTGTGGCAGCTGTAAATTAGATACGAATGCAGTATTGCTGTGATATATTATCTGGTATATATTTTTTTTACCCCCGGCATCTATTCTGAATTATACTAGATTGTATATTTTTTAGGAGGCTTCTTGTCATGTTGAATAATACTTATGGATTTATTATCTGGTTTATGCACCATCTCATTTACTATTTTTTATTATAACTACTGTGCACTGAATATAGCCTAGAATTCATAGGGAAACCAATACTAAGTGACACTGTTTAATCTGGCAACACGGTATTTGTATCAAACAGCCAGGTGGATAACTTTTGGTTCCAATCATTTCATGATACAAGCTACCTCCAAGTTATTAAATATTACAGCTAGTGTTTTCACTACCTTATGCACATATTTGAAAGCAATTGGTTCCCTTTTTAATCACTTTTTGTTTCTCACTGTGTGTAACACTATCACAATTGGTGTTTATCTGTGGTTCATTTTTATCTTTTGTGGCACTACTATACGTCATTGCCATCTAATAGTTTCTTTTTTTCAATTTTTGCTACACATAGGACCTGTATATCTATAGTGGTAACCAGTTCTTGGTCGGAGACCAGTTCTTACCTGTATAGACTGCAATTGGTACGTACATAGTACTAGCCAGTCAGCTCCAGGACTGTGGCTGCAAAATGTTAATTCATTAAGGCTTATTAAAGGACCACTATAGTGCCAGGAAAACAAACTTGTTTTCCTGCAACTATAGGGTCTTTGGGACCCCCCGCCCCTGCCAGGCTGAAGAGGTTAAAGGCTTACTGTTCTCCAGCGCCAGGCTCCCTCAGCGCAGGGGACTCTCCTCCTTCTGACGGCATCCATTGGATGCACATGCGCGGCAAGAGCCGTGCGCGCAGACAGTCAATAGGAAAGCATTCTCAATGCTTTCCTATGGACGCAAGCGTCTTCTCACTGTGAATATCACAATGAGAAGCGCCTCTTGCGGTTGTCAATGAGACAGCCACTAGAGGTTGGATTAACCCTAATGTAAACATAGCAGTTTCTCTGAAACTATGTTTACAGCAGGTAGGGTTAACCCTAGATGGACCTGGCACCCAGACCACTTCATTGAGCTGAAGTGGTCTGGGTGCCTATAGTGGTCCTTTAACAGAGGTTTCCTCTTGGTAAAAACAAGTTGTTGTGTTCTTGTTTGTTTTGTGTTTTATTAATTTTTTTTTTATAAACCTTCAATGAAAAATGTGCATAATTAAATGTGTGTATGTTTTCACTGGAATTGTATCTACTAAAAAGTCATTACTATTTTGTCTGGATTTGTGTAGTGGAGTTTCCCTTTTCAAAACCAAAAACTGAGGTTCAAATCCTGTTCAGACTACATATAATTGTAGGGTGCTGTGAAATACACTGTGTGTGTGTGTGTGTGTGTGTGTGTGTGTGTGTGTGTGTTCATATTCATAAAATCTGTTCTGGTGAACCTAGGCATGTATACCGCAATAGGATACTTCCAATTCCCTGCAACTATACCAATACATCCCGTCATCCTTCCATGAGGCAAATTGTTTGGGTTATGTTACAATTTGGTAATAGTTAGATAATCTACTAGTTGAGGAAATGGCTAAAATGACAATGAAGGGGGAAGTATCATCATGGGCAACTTTTAATCTTCATAATGTGAATTTGAAAACCAAAATCACCTCTTGTGCCAGGAGCACACATATTCTAAACTCCCTACTGGGATTGTCTCTAAAACAAGTCATTGAGGAGCCAACTCATAAGGAGGTCATACTAGATTTAGTGTTAACAAATTGAGATTTGGTATCAGATATTACTGTAGGTGAAAGTTTAGGATCCAGTGATCATAAGTCAGTGTGGTTTAATATAAGAACTGTGACTGAGTCACACCACACAAAAACAAAAGTTTTAGACTTTAGAAAAACAGATTTTTCTGAAATTAGAATGTGCTGAGGAGTCATTATAAGACTGGAGCAATTTAAATGGAGCCCAAGAGAAATGGGGATTATTTAAAAGTTGGACTGCTGAAGGCAACAGAAAATTGCATTAGGCTTGACAATAAAAACAAAAAAAGTCAAGAAACCACTGTGGTACTCTGCAGATGTGGCCAAAATAGTAAAAACCAAAAGATAGCATTAAGTAATTATAAAAAAAACCCAGAGTGAGGAAGACAGAATGATCTATAAGATTAGGCAGAAAGAGGCTAAGCAAGTTATAAGAGCTTCCAAATCACACACAGAAGAGAAAATAGCACAGTCAGTAAAAAAAGGACAAAACATTTTTTAGATACATAAATGAGAAAAGTAAAACAAGGATTAGTTAGATTAAAAACAAAAGATTAATATTTTTGTTCAGTATTTACAGATGAAAATGAAGGAAAGGGACCTCAGTTAGGAAAAAGGACAAATGAGTCATTTATTACACGTGAGTTTACAGAGGAAGAGGTTCTATTTCAACTGTCAAAAGTAAAGACAAATAAGTCAATGGGACCTGATGGAATACACCCAAAGCTATTAAAAGAGCTTAGTGGTGTACTAGCAAAACCATTAACAGATTTATTTAACCAATCATTGTTAACAGGAGTAGTCCCAGAAGATTGGAAGTTAGCGAATGTTGTGCCCATTTACAAGAAAGGTAATAGGGAGGAGTCAGGCAACTATAGGCCAGTAAGCCTTACTTCAGTAGTGGGGAAAGTGATGGAAACCATGTTAAATTTACACAGAGTAAATTGCACTTATTTGATGCTGGACGTTCTCATGGAGTCCCATGTCAAAAAAGATCCCCAGGTCTTCAGTGTTGAGGTAGTCCGATGCTGGATTAAGGTAAGCAAATAAATGATTAACTATTTATTTGCCGCAGAACGAGGCCCTAGTCACCTAAATTGTGACTAGGGCTCTATAGCATTAGGAATACAAATATGTATTCCTAATGCTATAGTATTCCTTTTAATAATAGGATTGTTGAACATCTAAAATCACATGAATTTCAAGATCAGAGACAACATGGGTTTACGGCAGGGAGATCATGCCAAACTAATTTTTTGATTGGGAAACTAAAATAATAGATCATGGTGGTGCAGTAGACATTGCTTACCTAGATTTTAAAGCGGACCACGGGTAACCAGACCGGTTACCTCCGATAATTCCCTTCCTTCAGCTGTTCAAGAACCCTTACAACAAGCAGATGCCCATTGTGACAGACCCTCCCTCAATCGATGCTCCTAGTGCTTACCAAGGACCATCAGCACCGCAACCAGACCCCACGAACCACCGCATCTTGGTTGGGGTCTCGCCGTCTCCTACCCACCCTGGACCTACGACATGGCTCCAGTGGATGAACCTCTCTTCCTTCAGGGAGCAAAGCAGGAACAGCTCTTAGAAGAGCTAGTGATTAGCATCCAGGGGAGTATACAGAGTATAGCAATCCCCAGTGTGGTTATAGCAGTATCCTACAACACGAGACGCGGCTGCGAGTTGAGGGTAAGAAGGTCTGAGAGTTTAATGGCACACACTGGTCTTTTATACAAGTTTTACAGCAAAGGTGACACCCAGGTGGACCTAGTTGGGCACCAAATACAAACCAGTAAAAACAGTCTTACATGCAGACGCTCCCAAAAAGTGTACACAAACCCTTCCCTTTGCCTGTGATACAATTAACGAAGACAATGGACTGACTCAATTAATGCCGAAAAAACATACATTTTTACAAAGTGTGGAAAACACCATAAAACACACAAACGCCCCCAAAAAAAAATATCCCCATAAAAGTCAAATCCCCTGATAGCCCCGATCTGGGTGAATAACATATCCAAAAATCACCCAGATCGGTTCAGGGGTTAAAATTTTAAATGGAAGTCATATTTTTGCCTAGGCGAACACAGAATTTCATGCCCAAAACTGTGCCATAGAAGCGCTGATAAGTGGCGCTGGAGGACTGACCAGGAACCATGAGGTTTCCATGCCTAAAATAGTTCCAGGGCATTCACGGCTAAGTTCCACTGAAGTCCATGTACGGTTTTGGGTCCATGCGAACAAAATGGCCGACACCACGTGTTCAAATGTCAAATGGCAGCCACGTCGGCTGTATCCGAAGTGCCACTTCAACAACTTTGAAAGTTTGAAGAACATTGTGCTAAGTCCCAATAGGCACAATTAGGGTCTCTCAGCCAAAATAAATTAAAGGGGCCATAGTCACAGGGGAACAGGCTGGCAAGTAGTCCTCCAGAAAACAGTGGCGAAATTGCTTTCATCACATCCATTTCCCCCCCCCAGTAACTGGACACCACACAGTTCTGGAGGTAAAAACACTGACAATCCTTTATTGGTAAACACAGCTTTTATGCACAGAACCCCGCAGGGGGTCTCCACTCTTTCAATACTCTTTCCTTTCTCCCAGGCAGGAGAAGGGGGATGGGTTACAGTTAACCATTTCCCGCTCTGGGAGATGCCAACAGGACACAGTTACATACCGTGTTTCTCCGAAAATAAGACCGGGTCTTATATTAATTTTAGTCCCAAAAAACACACTAGGGCTTATTTTCAGGGTAGGGCTTATTTATTTATGGTACCGGTATGTACATTGAACCCCCCTTTAATTAATCCACCCCCCTTTAATAAATCCACCCCCTCTAATTAATCCACCCCTCTAATTAATCCACCCCCCTTTAATTAATCCACCCTCCTTTAATTAATCCACCCCCCCAATAAATCCACCCCCCCAATAAATCCAGCCCCCTCTAATTAATCCACCCCTCCTTTAATTAATCCACCCCTCCTTTAATTAATCCACCCCCCTCTAATTAATCCACCCCCTCTAATAAATCCACCCCCTCTAATAAATCCACCCCTCCTTTAATAAATCCACCCCCCGTTTAATTAATCCAACCCCCTTTAATAAATCCACCCCCCCACTAATCCACCCCTCTACTCAATCCACCCCTCCCTTAATAATCCAATTTCCCTAATTAATCCACCCCTAATAAATCCACCCCCCACTAATCCACCCCTCCTTTAATTAATCCACCCCCCCTAATAAATCCACCCCCTCTAATAAATCCACCCCCCGTTTAATTAATCCAACCCCCCTTTAATAAATCCACCCCCCTCTAATTAATCCAGCCCCCCCTTTAATTAATTCACCGCCCCCTTTAATTAATTCAGTCCCAGACATAAAATATCTACTCACAGATGCCTTCCTTGCCCGCCGAGTCCGACCACTGGGTGCCTCACCGCCCGGAAATGGATCCTTCCGCTGAAGATCCGTGAAGGCAGACTGACGACGCTGCGCACGTCGTCATCACGTTGCGCGATGCCGCGGCCTGCAACGCTCCTCCTCCTCCTCATAGAAGAAGGAAGTCCCGCCGGACCGAAAGGTACAGTGCCTAGGTCTTATTTTCGGGGTAGGGCTTATATTGCTGCCCACCCCGAAAATTCAGCTAGGTCTTATTTTCGGGGTAGGGTTTATTTTCGGGGAAACACGGTACATTAAAATATATTACAAACAGTAGGACACATTACAAATACGGGGGAATACTTAGGGGCTCCGCATCCCAGGAAGGGAATGGGGTACACACATAAAACATCCCTGGATAGCCCCGGGTACCAGCTAGGATCCCTGCAAATAGCGGGCCTGTTGGATGTACAGAGCCTGAGAAACCATCATATAAATTCTGGGGCTCTGAAACTCTATACATCCACAAAATCAGTTCCACAGCGTCTCTTGGTTTGGTCCGGTGAATTCAAACTTGGCATCCAAACCAAGCAACAGCCAATCAGCTGAAAGGCGCAAAACCAATTTGCACCAATCAGGGCTCAGGGAGGAGAGGGGTTTAGCCTGCGTCCTGCAGTGGCCAATCAGAAGAATGGGGCAAACCCAGTTTAAATGGGTGCTCCATCTCCCAATTGGTCGGCATGGACTTCCAGGTGGCCAGCGGGGCTCTGTGGCTGTGAAGCCGACTCACAGCTCCAGGGTCTCCGCTGGGGCTCGCGTCTCTCTACAGTGGCTGCCTCTATTTAGGCCGCCCAGGGGCAGGTAGGGAGGCCCG